GCAAGTATACTACTGACCAGTGATCCTGTCATAAAACAAAGATTATGCAGTGTCACCTGCAAGTATACTACTGACCAGTAATCATGTAATCATGTCTTAAAACAAAGATTACGCAGTGTCACCTGCAAGAATACTACTGACCAGTGATCCTGTCATAAAACAAAGATTATGCAGTGTCACCTGCAAGTATACTACTGACCAGTAATCATGTCTTAAAACAAAGATTACGCAGTGCCACCTGCAAGAATACTACTGACCAGTAATCATGTAATCATGTCTTAAAACAAAGATTACGCAGTGTCACCTGCAAGAATACTACTGACCAGTGATCCTGTCATAAAACAAAGATTACGCAGTGCCACCTGCAAGAATACTACTGACCAGTGATCCTGTCATAAAACAAAGATTACGCAGTGCCACCTGCAAGTATCCTACTGACCAGTAATCATGTCTTAAAACCAAGATTACGCAGTGCCACCTGCAAGAATACTACTGACCAGTGATCCTGTCATAAAACAAAGATTATGCAGTGTCAGTAAGTAACGTTCTAGAATGTCAAGAACAAGTTGCTTTCGCTTGAAAGCTGAGACAGTACCATACGAGTGAGACTGAAGCTACGTTAAAAGTTTTATTCTATAGCTAATCTTTATTTGCAATGCTCAAAATTATGGTAATATCAATTGAAGTAAATTGTTATTTTAAATTGTAATAAAAATAAATAAAATGTATCCCTGGTTCACGTTTTACCTTATCTTTGTTGAATGTGTCCGTTTTCCTTTTCCAACACACAGGTATGCCAGTCCGGGTCATGAGTAAATGATTTATTGTCAGATTATCCCCGAGAATCGGTGTGAGGTGCTGACATTACACTTTGTTTTACAACCATATATTTGTCAACTAGGCACAGGGTGTGTCAAAAATTAGACGTAAATTAGTACTCATTGAAACAGTGTGTCATATATTTTGATCTTTCTGTTTCATATCTGAACGAATATAACACTTACCAAGGCAGTCAATGAAACGCTCTTATAATAGTTATAGTTATATTTTGTGGCTACTTAGTGACATGATAATAGACGTTACCGTTGAGTTCTGACTTTTAATACACCCTGTGTGAGCCATGTCATCTAGTCATTAATGAAACCACCAACTTTAATATCAGCTCCTCTAGATACGCCAAGTTAGTTTTGAAAGTAGAATCCAGAGTTCTTAAATACCACATTCTTCTCGTAAATCTATAAGGGTTCCGCTTTGACTTGGTGTTTATAACATTAGCATTTGGGTGAAATACCACAGCTATAAAAAACGATGGCAATAATAAGAACAGGTGTGTAATAAGAATTTTACAGGAAAAGTAATTCATTCTTAATATATGAAGCGTTAAAATATAAACGAAGAAAGGTGTAGCTTTCAATCTATAACTATAACTATGTAGGTATTCTGAAAGTGCAACCGAAAATATACAAACTGTCTTTAAAATTGTATGTGGTAATTATAAGCTTTTTCTGCATTTTCTTTTGTTTACTGTGCAACATATTGAATTTCATTCCAAAGTGATATTAAGTCGTATCCGTAAAGAAAGACAACGTTAAATCTGAGAAGCAATTGGAAATCAAGTAAAAAAGACAAAAAATTCAGCGAATAAATACGACAAAACAGCCCTTATTTGTCATCATACATTTTATTAATCTGTGTTTATATTTCATTTTAACTTTCTAGATAAGTTCATTACTCCTTATATTGAGCCCCCCAGTGGCACAGCGGTATGTCTGCGGACTTACAACACTAGAATCCGGGTTTCGATACCCGTGGTGGGCAGAGCACAGATAGCCCTTATGTAGCTTTGTGCATAATTACAAACAAACCTTATATTGAATTAATTTGAGCTTGAAGTATCTAAGCCAAATATGAAGCATTTCTGTTATTTTTCTGTGTATGTGTGTGTATCTGTATCTTTTTGTCTATATAACACAAGAAGCTTCTAGCGATTTTAAACTTTACTGTACTTGTAATGTGTCACTAACTATCCGTATTCTCGGTCTTAGAATAAATAACAAATTCTAATCAAAACCAATTAAACGTGACATATTAATGGTCTATTCAATATCGTAGCTACGTTGGTTTAATCAGTTCCCTACTGTATGTGTCCTGCTAGCAATCATACATAGGTTATCTTCTGTTTCGAGCTAATTCCAGAAAGAACTAATAAAATTCATTATCAGCAACACTAGAAGCCGTACCATTAATGAAGTTTCTCCAGGCTTAATTGATACAAGGGATCATAGTTAATAGCATGGTCTGCTTGCAGTGACTGGACATGTACGAAGGAGAGAACAGTCAGGAAATTGAAAGATGACGATTCGCTGCAGGAGCGAGCAAGTATTTCATAATTCACTTCACCACACCTGTCTAGCGTGACAAATGTGATTAGCTCTTATCGATTCCTCGTGCTGTTATTCAAGGGAAGTCGATGTTCTTAAATACACAAACACATACTTCTTACTGAACATAACTTTCTAATTAATGATCACTTTCATAGTAAATTTTGTTTGTTTTTAAAATAGAGAAATATAGTGTAAATACATGTCCAGTTTTAGAACTAAATGCTATAAGTGACAAGATTGATGACAGGTGTAGATGCAGACCAATAATTATGAGGCTTCAAATTCAACGACAAACTTTTAACTTAGACATGGAACATAAATTGATAGATGTAGAAGTAAGACCCATGGAAAGATATGGATGCATAATGAAATCTATTTGGCTCGACTAATTTAAAGATGTACTAAATTTTAATTACGTTACATTCCCTGGCTGTTGTTTATTATCCATGACAGATAGTGATAATTCGAGCAACCTTTAAATAAATACCATTTTAGCAAAAATTATCTAACATTATCCACATATCTATATAATGATTGCAAATGAATTAGCTAATAGTTTGAAGATAATTTCACACAAAAAATTCAATGCGAAACCTTCATTATCAGCAACTAACATCGGTTCCAAAATAACCTATAAAGTTTAATGTGTAAACATTTACTCTTGCGAAGTTGAAGTATTATAAGTCTAAAGAAATTATAAGGAATAACAATAAAGGACGGATGGTAACGTTAAAATAAGCAGAAAACTTTCTTTTCTATCACAAAAGTGAATCCATATATTTGAAGTACCGCATTATTCTCAACTATAATTGGAAAAATGTCAACGTTTTTTGGGAAATGCGCATCGCTAATAACCCATGTTTTTGAAAGTTACACAAAATCATTGTGTTTGCTTAAATAGCTGAAATTAAGGGGGCTCAAACTGTTAGTCACATTTATTTTCGTAATAAAACAAATATTTTTTTCAATATATAAGGAAAGTATCAGACGTATTTACAAATACCACAAGTTGCTACTATACGTTCTGTCGTTAAGTGTTATAAATATAAATGTATATTTATCTAAAACGCTTTTTTTTTCAGTGGAAGCTAATGATAAATAATTCAAAAATGTGTCCAAAAGGAAGTAAAAAAACACACACAACTAAAAAATAGGGCTCCTTGAGAACAAAGAGGTAAAATTAAAATTCTTCACATTGACTTCGGGTTGTAGTATAGTTGTTGTTTTTTCAAGAATTCAATACCAAAGCAGAAACTACCACATTGCTGTGCAGTTTTAATATCCTGTTTATTGACACAATAGAATTTTTAAAAAAGTTGATTTTAAACGCCAATGAAAAGTTTCATTGAAACTATCATCTAATAAGCAATAAAACTTTACTCTGGGTAAGTATATAAATATATATACATATACCAAAGAAAATCCGTGACAGGAAGCATTTAGACATATAGTTATGTCTAAATATGTCTATATAACCATGTTTTCATACATAGGCCTAGTGCTTTGTATTGAAACTATCTTGGAGTATCACCACGTTTTTACAGTCCATGTCGACACGTCCGGTCATGCTCTATCTAACTACTGTACATTTTTACTATAATATGGTACCGTAATTTCCACTGCAAAAGGCTACAAAGCAAGGCTGTCATGTCCAAATCAGACCATTCCTCCCTGTATGGTTTCCAAAATCCATCAATTGTACGAGGATGACGGTTTCCAAGCGTCCTTTTCAGCAATCTGATCCCACAGAAATCCATAGGCGACTTGAGGAATATGTCTTCATATAAGTATCCACTTTATTCTTCCGGCTCAAAGTATACGACAGTTGAACGAGAGGTATGATTGAAAGCATTACTGTAATGAACCCCTACCTAGTTGGCCCATTTCTAGTTATACATCCTTCTTGATTATGTTGGATACTGTCGCCTGGGATACGCAGACACATTTTGCCTTTGACCTTTGAATTCGTAAATTCTTACCATGGCTGTGGTACGACTTGTTGTAGGTCTCTTTCTGGATGGTCCATTACCCAAGTTGATCCTTTTTCCTTTATTTTCCAATGCCAATAGGTACTAGAAATATCTTTTACTTGGAAATTCTAAATCCCCTAACTGAACACATCTTTTATTGAAGTTATCAATATTTTGATTCTTATAACGTGAATAACATCAATGGGTTTTTGTTCTAGAGTAAATTGAAAGTTATTTACTTTTATTGTAGTTCAGAAAAAAATAGCTATCATACGTTTTACTCATCTTTGTTAGTTTTCCTTTAAGTGAAAGAATTTTAAACTATCTGCCATTCTTAAGTGATATCTGTTTGGCAATGGGAAAGGATAATATTTCAACTCTTTTTCTGAATGCATTTATGAGTGTTACTAAGTATTTCAAAACATGTCTTGCATCTGGAGTTACAAATCAGTTAAATTAAGATTAGTACTTGATGTGATAAAGTAATACCGACGATTTGTACGAATTTAGGATTTTAAAACTTAAAAATGCATAAAATATGTCACATATAAATTAATATGCTGAATATTATTTCTTTATATTAAAAAGTGACACCCGTACACTTTGGAGAATAAATATTACTCACGAAAAATATATAGCAGAAAAATTTATTTACAACCTTAAACGTAAATGAGAAAAACATATTCATTACATATCAATGGAAATCGGCAAAGTTCAGTGTCATGTAAATGAAGAGAATCATCCTGAAAAGATTAACATATGTCTTCAGAGCTTCTTTCCTCTGCCCCACAGTGGCATAGCGGTATGTCTGCGGACTTACAACGCTAGAAACGGGGTTTCGATACCCGTGGTGGGCAGAACACAGATAGCCCTTTGTGTAGATTTGTGCTTAACTGCAAACAATAACAATTCTTTCTTCTTGTGTTGTCATGGAGCTACATTACTTTAAGCGCATAAAACTTTTGTCTTCTCACACTGTTTATTAACGTTAATCTTGTTTTCATGATAACACTGGACAAGAATCAAATTTCGACCATCATGTGGAGCATGTCTAAATGACTTAAGCTCTTTTTTTACACACATATCAACTGAGAGGCCACACCACTATTTTTTTTAACGCACGTCATGATAATCCTAAAATCTTCTTCGGCTCACACTACAGAAGCGACCTCTGTGCAGTTACTAAAACACATATCAGAGCTAATATTTTATGAAACACTTACCCTAAGTCATCTCGTATGGAACACTTCTTGACACCAAAATGAGTACGTTACTTCCTTAAATTAAAATGCAATAGTATATTGTAAAATGTCAATTGCCTCGATAATGTTAAGACAGCTTATTCACTGACGTATTCCGTTGATCCAATTCTTACAAGTTTCGCTTTCATAGCAATGCTATTTATAAATTCGTGATATTATAAGTTTCTATCTGAATTATTACAGCACCTTCATGAAAACTAATGTCAAATTAAATGAGGATATATTCTAGTTAAATAAATTCTAGTTGTTGAATTAAAGAAGTGAAAATGATACCTAAGCGGGATTCAAAGTCGCGACTCCATTTACCGGCAGGTGTTTCAGTTAATTAAACTATCGGTCTCAGTGACGTCTCATCAACAAATATCTGGGTTATGTATGACAATAAAGAACAGTTAAAGTAAGTAAAAACTTCTTTAAAACATTGTCATGAAGATAAAATAACAAAAGTGATACAGAACATTTCTAAATAACATAGATAATTCTTTCCAGAAATAATTAAACTATTCTCTCGTGATTGAAGTAAAAATTATCTCTAAAAATATATAGTTAAAATAAATCATATAATTCTTCTTTACTAAAACAAATACACTTTGAAAAGACAACATTTCTAAAAAAATTAATAATAATAAATTGTTTGTTTTAGAGCTAAGTCACTTTGGGCTCTCTGATGTATTCACCACGGGGAATCGAGCCCCAAATTTTAGCGTTGTAGATCCGTAAACCTACCGCTGTCCCTCCGAAGAACAGCTAATGATAAGAAAAGTGTTTTAATTGAAACTATTATGAATTTCACCAGATACTTGATATTTAGGAGTTTTTTATAGGTTTAATTATTCTAACAAAAGTAGCTTCAAACTAAATAGAAAAATAACCTCTACATAAAATGTTTTAACATTTCGATATAACCCCACAAGAAACAAATGTCGTTATCGCAATAAGATATAATAGTTTTTTTAAGGATCCATATACACGACTAGTCTTTAGAACATTAACATCTTACAGTTTTTGTATACAATTTATTCTCATCTTTCATATATATTGTGATTTTTCAAGCACAAGAACGGTCTGATCTCTTTTTTTTTTTTTGACAACTAAGCCAAAACAATTACATAAACATTTTGCAACTGCTAAGCGTTTCAATACTGCTTTGTGGAATTATACTTGTTTTGTGCCAGAAACTTGATTTTCGCCAACAGAGGACTTTGGGCTGGAACTGCTGAACTTTGAGTTTGAAGTACTGGGCGTATTATTTTTACTGTTAAAAGCTCCTAGACGATAGCTTTCCCTTTTCTTTTTCCTACACAAACAGTCTTCCGTTATAAATTTCCGTAGCCCGCGGTGCCACCAAGCGTAGATAAGGGGATTTAACAACGAGTTAAGAAATCCCAGAACTGCCAAAACAGTAGCCATTGTCACAGCTAATTGCATATTCGGGTCGATCGCGTAGATAATCACAGCAATAAAATAGGGAAACCACGACACCACAAAAGCACTGAGTGTAAAAATCACCACCTTAATAGCTTTCCACTTCTTCTGAGACTTCCTTTCCTGGTTTTGGCAGCCAGTTGTAAATATATGCCTTTGCCCTCTAGAGTAATATATTTTAGACAATACAGATTTTGACTTTTTCTGGCCCTGGATTTCAAACATATGAATGTTTTCTGGAGGCTTATCCAGTGTGCTGCCCTTCCTAATGCTCACTTGGCGGATGGCCTTGTATAAAATGAACGTATACAACACAGCAATAACTCCAAGAGGAAGGAAAATACCAATGATTACAGTAAATAAAAGGTGTTCTGGTGTGGCCACTATGACATACCAACATTGCGATCCATCAACGGGAAAGGACCAGCCCATAGCCGGAGAAAATCCAATCAGAATACATATAATCCATAAGAAACAAATCATTAATCTGGCTCGTTTTGTCGTCATCCAGTTGTTATAATAAAGCCCATAAGCTATGAAGATAAAACGGTCAATTCCGATCAAAGTGATACTCCAACTAGAAGCCAATGATGCACTTACAATACTTCCTGGAAGAAGAGAAATTTATACAGATGATTAAAGGCAATCTTGATATTTTTGTAAAATAATATTTACAGAAAAGTGAAAAATAGTAAGAAATAAACATATCTCAAAGTGTGAGTTTCTACATGAGACAAGAACAGTACGTAGGTATAATGGTCATATCTCAAAATATTATTTTTATGTTTGTATACAACTCTACACCAGTTCTAACGTTAACCCTAGAATTGTAATTCGTGGTACTAGCTTAATGTTTCTTTTTTATCCACAAACGCCATGGCTATAATCATGCTGAAATATGTTAGCTGATAGCTCCAAAAAGATGTTAAGATTTTATAATAAGTAAATTAGTTTAAAACAAATTACAACACAAATGGTAACTGGATACTCATATCTAAATGGCTATCATTCGGAATATCTGTTTTTGATAAATAAGAAGCTAACTCTTAAATAATTTAATAGCTATTGTTCCGTATTACAAATTATCCTGGAGAAGTCTCCAATTTATTACGTAACATATTATAATATCGAATAGCCTGAAACTGAGTTAAATGATAATTTAGATTTAGAAATTAAATAA